ACCTCAGTGGAATTTCTAGGGGTCCAGAGGTGCGGGGCATGTCGAGCTATCCCTTCTAAGGTGAAGGATAAGTTGCTGCATCTGGCCCCTCTTACACCAAAAAGGAGTCACAAGGCCTACTGGGCCTCTTTGGACTTGGGGAGGCAACGTATCCCCCATTTGGATGTGTTACTCTGGCCCGTTTACCGAGCGACCCAAAAAGCTGCTGGTTTTGTGTGGGGCCCAGGACAAGAGCAGGCTCTGCAACAGGTCCAGGCTGCCGTGCAACCTACTCTGCCACTTGGGCCATATGATCCAGCAGATCCCATGGTGTTTGAAGTATCAGTGGCGAATAGGGATGCTGTTTGGAGCTTCTGGCAGGCCCCTATAGGATTTTGGAGCAAGGCTCTGCCATCGTCTGCAGTTAGCTGCTCTCCTTTTGAGAAACAGCTTTTGGCCCCAGCTACTGGGCCTCAGTAGAGCCTGAACGCCTAACCATGGGCCACTCAGTTACCATGCGACTTGAGCTGCCCATCGTGAACATAAAGTTGGGGGTGCGCAGCAGCGCTCCACCCTCAAATGGAAGTGGTATAGGTGTAACCAGGCCTGAGCAGGCCCCAATGGCACCAGTAAGTTCCACGAAGAAGTGGTCCAAATGGCCATGGCCCCTGCTCCTGCTACATGACTTTCTCCCAGCCTGCACCTATGCCTCTCGGGGGAGTTCCCTCTGATCAGGTGGCAGAGGAGGGGAAGACTTGGGCCTGGTGGACAGACGGTTCTGCACCATGTGCAGGCACCACCCACAGGTGGACAGCCACGGCACCACAGCCCCACTCTGGGACCTCCCCGAAGGACGCTGGTGAAGGGAAACCCTCCAGGTGGGCAGAACTTGGAGCAGTGCACCTGGTTGCTCACTTTGCTTGGAAGGAGAAACGGCCAGACGTGCGATTACACACCAGTCCATGGGCTCTGGCCCATGGTCTGGCTGGAGGGTCAGGGACTTCGAAGGAACGCGACTGGAAAATGGGTGACAGGGAAGTCTGAAGAAGAGGTAGGCCTCTCTGAATGGGCAAAAAAATGTGATGATATCTGTGTCCCGTGTGAATGCTCACCAAAGGGTGACCTCAGCAGAGGAGGATTCTCATATTCAAGTGGCTAGGATGAACCATTCTGTGGGTACCAGTCTGCCTCTTTTGCCAGCCAGTCCTGTGTTTGCCCAGTGGGCTCGTGAACAAAGTGGCCACGGTGGCAGGGATGGGGGTGATGCGTGGTCTCAGCAACATGGACTTCCACACACCAAGACTGACCTAGCCACAGCCGCTGAGTGCCCAATCTGCCAGCAACAGACCAACACTGAGCCCGCAACATGGCCCCATTCCCCAGGGTGATCAGCCAACTACCTGGCGGCAGGTTGATTACATCGGACCACTTCTATCAGGGAAGGGGCAGCATTTTGTCCTTACTGGAATAGACACTTACTCTGGATACGGATTTGCCTTCCCTGCACACGGTGCTTCTGCCCAAACTACCGTCCATGGACTTACAAAATATCTTACCTTTCTTCACGGTATTCCACGCAACATTGCTTCTGATGAAGGAACTCACTTCACAGCAAAAGAAGTGTGGCAATGGGCCCACGCTCATGGAGTTCACTGTTCTTACCACGCTCCCCACCATCCCAAAGCAGCTGGCTTGACAGAACGATGGAATGGCCTTTTGAAGACTCAGCTACAGTGCCACCTAGGTGACAATACCTTACAGGGCTGGGGCGAGGTTCCCCAGAAGGCTGTTTAATCTCAAATAAAAACAACAACAAGGTCATACATCCACCTCACACGATACAACCATCCTGAAAAAAGGTGAAAATGCACCAACTAACCCCTTCCCCAGAAGAGGAGTTAAAGTCCTCGAGTGAGGTTTACTCCAACTGCAAGGATTCACGGGTCCAGGAATCAAAGGGTCCAAATGGTGGTGGGACTACTCACTATTACCGCTAGCGACCCACTAGCAAAATTTTTGCTCCCTGTCTCTGTGACCTGATGCTCTGCTGGCCTAAACATCTTAGTTCCAGAGGAAGGAATGCTTCCACCGGGAGACACAGCAATGCTTCCACTGAACTGGAAGTTAAGGCTGCCCCCCGGCCACTTTGAGCTCCTCAAGGCTTCTGTGGATCAACAGGCAAAGAAGGGAGTTACTGTGCTGGCTGGGGTGATTGATCATGACTACCAAAGGGACATTGGGCTGCTACCCCACACTAGATATTGGAGGTAAGGAAGATACGTCTGGAGTACAGGAGATATAAAGGTGTCTCTCGCTATTAGTCCTTTAGTATTATGCCCTGTGAGTAAGGTCAATGGAAAACTACAACAACCCAATCCATGCAGGACTACTAATGGCCCAGACGCTTCAGGAATGAAGGTTGGGGTCCCCTCACCATGTAAAGATCCACAATCAGCCGAGGTGCTTGCTGAGGGCAAATGGAACACAGAAGGGATAGCGAAAGAAGGCAGTTGTAAATACCAGCTAGGACCATGTGACCAGTTACAGAAACAAGGACTGTAATTGTCATGAGTATTTCCTCCTTCTTTTGCTATGAATACCTTTGTGTGTGTGGTGGGGGGATGTAAAATATCTGTTTTCTTCCCTCTCTTATCCTTCTACCATGTAACGTAAGATGTATTGACTTTATATCATAGTACTTAAGCATTGTTAACTTTATATCACAGTATTTTTAAGTTTTGAGACGTCAAGAAGAGTGAACATCACCCGAGGGCTTTTCACCCTCTACTGGGTAAAGGGTTATTGCGTTTTCATTTGTACAGAGGATAGTTGTATCGTGTTTGGTCCAGGTAGGACCTTGCTATTATCTTTATTTGGAGTTTAAGTATGTCTTAAAATGTTTCTGGATGCCAAGTTGATAAAGGGTGTACTTGTGATGGTTAATTTTATGTGTCAACTTTATATTTGGTCAAACATTATTCTAGAGGTTTCTGTGAGGGTATTTTTTAGTTGAGATTAACATTTAAATCAGTGGGCTTTGAGTAAAGTAGATTACCCTCCATACTTCAGCATGCCTCATTTAATCAATTAAAAGCCTTAATAGAAAAAGACTGACCTCCTTGGAAGAAGAGGGAATTCGGCCTGCAGACTGCCTTTGGACTCCAACTCCACCTCTTTTCTGGGTCTCCCTGCTGGCCTACCCTGCAGATTTTGTTTTTTTCAAGCCTCCATAATCACATGAGCCAATTCCTTAAAATCTCTCTCTCTCTCTCAATATGCCTATACATTTGTAGATATGTATCTACACAGATACAGGTATCTATCTCTGTGTGTATATATATACACACACACACACATACATACACAGAGAGAGAGAGACAGAGAGAGAGATTCTGTTTGTTTTGTTTCTCTTGAGAACTCTAATGCTTCCTGTATACCCATTACCAGGCTCTCTGGTGATCCCTCCCCTCCCCCTCAATGCAAGGAGTTTAGACCAGAGGGCTAAAGGGGTTTTTCTTTAAGCCCAAATCCAAATACTATCACTAGTCACAGTCCATACTTGCTAAGCATTCTTCTCACAAGACAGTAAGGCGGCGGGCCAGGCCTGCAGCCTGGGTTGAGAGGAGTGTACCAGAAAAAGCAAAAGCACAAAGGGCCATACACCGTTCCCTCTTTTGCAGTAAGTTGGACTAGTCTTTTAGGGCTCCAAAGGACCCTTCCCGGCAGCCACGTGAGAGCCCAGGAACGCTGCCTGAATCTGTCTCAAGTGGGCCTCTCCTGTATGTATTGCCTTACCCATTGCTTCCACACTGTTGAAGTAGGAGGAGAAAAGAATACCCCAAAAGTCCCACCCATTTTGAGGCACTTAAGTCATAGTGACTACCCTCCACATATCCCCACCCCCAAAATGCAAAATAAAAATCTACCCCCAAACTGTGTCCTTAAATCCCACCCCAAAAGATTAGTATACAAGTTCAGCCTAAAGGATGCATTTTCCCAAAGTGGAGTGATTCAGAATGAGATTATATCCTGAAGAGTTCTTGTTGTCACTCTCAAAACTGTAAAGAAAATAAAACTGAATTTAAGGAAAAAACAGCTAAGCCGGTGTGCATGTAACATCGAGACCAAAAAGCCTCGGAAATTTAGTGTTTTTTAAAATGGAACGCCATCCTGCTTTTGGGGAACAAAGACGCTGTCTTGCACATACCTGACCACACAGTACCAAAGAAGCAGGCTGATTTTACATATTTAAGTAAGAGTCGCAGAAAGTTCCCTACTACGAGTAAAAGTTGCATGGACTCCCCGTACCTCTCAGAACAGAACCAGAACTGTGAATTGCAACGCACATCTGACACTTTTGTGCTGGACTCGCCCAGGGTCGCGGGGTTATTGGAGACATTTGCATTGCGGCTATCTGAGCAAGGACCGCATTGCAAGTGATCTCTGCAGATTCATTACCTGGCACGGCCTGCACACCAGGCACACCGTCAGTTGCAAATGAACGAATACATCTTGGAGCCGAAAGACAACTCTGTGTTTCTGCTTTCTGCCTCCCGACATGCAGATAAGCGATTCCCACTTTATAGGTGAAGTAAATCTAAACCACAAGTTAGGAGTACTAGAATGGCTTTATCGTGGATTCAGGGCTGTAGCAACAACAACATGACGTATGGGATTGAATGATTCCCACGAAACGTAAGGGGCGGATGAAACAAAGGAGAAACAGGGTGATCACACAGATAGAAATAAGCTAAGAAGTCAGAGTCACGATAAAAAAAATTATATAGCTAAGTACTCAGAGCTGTGCAAATAAAATCCTCACTGTGAAGCAAAGGTGCGGGGGAGGGGTAGAGCGGGGCAGAGCTGGGTGAAAGAAGAGGAGGAAGGGGATAAAAGGGGTTCTCAATTTACGTCGCAGTCTTGGGGGAAGAGAGCCATGTCCTCTCCTCGATTCCATCATATTGTATTTTCCCCCACTATTACGGAAATGCGTCTTTGGCATACAGGTAACTTTCAGTCAACTAAAGTCCTATGGTGGCAAGAGGAATGAGATAAACAAAGGTAGAACCGCCGGGTTCCGTGTCTTTTATTTCGCCCCCAAACGCAAAGGCGGATGGAGGCGTGAGGTCTGGTAACAGGCAGAAAGTCACTTGGTTAAGGTGATCCGTCAGATCCCCTGTCCTGGGGGAGACGGTTTCTTGCAGAACGAGGTGCAGGAGGTGGTTCTGCTCGGCACTCAACAGCGGCCACATCTCCACCTGCAGCGACTTGACGGCCTCCGTGTCCTTTTCGTGGGTGGCCATGACCAAGGACTGGAGCAGTAGGAAGAGCTCCTCCGGAAGCTGGCCACTGCTCTCCTGCCCGTGGCTGTCGAAAGCCTCCCAGCAGTACTTCTCCAGGGTGTGGGCATGCTCCGGCAGGAGCTTGGCGGGCGGGGGTTGCAGGAGCAGCAGCAGCAGCACGCGAGACACCTCGCAGCGGACCAGCACGTCCGAGAAGGCGCCCAGCGCGGCGGGCGCGGCTGCAGAGCCGGCGTTCGGGAGCAGCAGCGCGGCCGGCAGGGCGGGGGCCGCGCCGGGTCCGGGCTGGGGCCCCGGCGGCGGCGGCGGCGGCGGCGGCGGCGGCTGCACCGGGTGGCTGCCGTGCTCCCGCGCCAGGCGCTGCATGCGCGTGAAGACCGCCAAGGCGCCGCTGTAGTCGCGCGCCAGCAGCTGGCAGGAGGCGGCGTCGCCGAGCGCCTGCAACGCGGCCAGGGGCAGCTGGGGCAGCTGCAGCTGGGCGGCGCGCTGGAAGTGGCCGGCGGCGGCGGCCGGCTGGCCCAGGTCGCGCAGGGCGGCGGCCAGCTCGAGGCAGAGGGCGGCGGCGGCGGCCGGCTGGCCCAGCTCGAGGTGCAGGCGCACGGCGGCGCCCAGGGCGCTGGCGGCGGCCTGCAGCGGCTCCCCGTAGGCGGCGGGGCAGACGAGGCGCTGACGCGCGTCGCGCTCCTGCCGCAGGAAGAGGCGGGCGGCCTCGGTGAGCGCCAGCGCCTCCCCGGGCCCGTGGAAGAGCGCCTGCTGGCAGCGCGCCACCGCCAGCTGGCACCAGGCCGCGTACGGCAGGCACTCCTGGGCGCGCAGCTCGCGGCCCAGCTGTGCGAACTGCTCCCCGGCCTCCGCCACGTTCGGCTTCCGCAGGAAGCGCTTCTTCAGCTTGTTCGACACCTGGCGGTACCGGGCCAGGAAGTCCCCGGCCTCGGGCCCTGGGCCCGCGCCTCCACCCAGGCCGCCCGCGGATGCCGCCATGTTCGCCGCCCGAGCGCTTCCGGGCGCGCTGACGCACCCGGGCGGCCGCGCCGGCGCCGGCGGCGGGCTGCGACGTACCCTGCGTCCCGCTCCAGAGGCCCAGCGCGCCGGGTGGCCCCTGTGATATGCAAAATACCCGGGTCGGGGGCGGGGCCTGGCCTGGCTGCGAGCTGCGTATGCAAATCGGGGCCCACGGGGCGGGGCCTGGCCGGCGCCCGCTGTTGCTAGGCGACGGCTCTTTGGCCCAGGTTGCTAGGGGCGTCCCCAGCGTCTCTAACGCAACGCGACCCAAGCGAAACTCGGGATCCACGTGGCCCTCATGCCGACTTTGCCTGTTTCTCGAGTGTCCGTCCGTCCTCCATCTTCGCGTCAAAGCCCCTGCCCCCTTGGAGTCCTTGCCCACCGCTCTGCCCACCTCCTCCCCCCGCATGCCGCCCCCCGCCCCACACCGCCACCCCCACCCCCGGTCGCCACTGCACGTTCACCGGGCCACGACGCCGCAGTCCCGGACTTGAGCTCCACCCCAGCGAACACCATCCTTCCCAACGAACACCGTCCTTCCGGGGACGTGGCCGGGCTCTGACTTGTTCGGAGCCCGTGGCGGAGTCTTGCGCACCCAGCCTCACCCCCGACCCCACCCCAGCCAGCCTTCCCACCCAAGGCCCCCCGCGACCCCACGCTGTCCACCGCTCCTCTCTGTCATCCCCGACTCCTCCCTGCCACCCCGAGCCCACCCCCCGCCGCTCCCCCTCCCTCCAAGGAGACACGTCCCGGCACCAGCACCTCCCGCGCAAAGTGACCGAAGCACGCACGCGGGTTTCCTGAAACACTTTATTCTTAGAGATTTCCCATGACTGTGCCCGAGGCCCCAGACAGGCTGGGGCCGCCCCGGGGCTGTGAGCGGGCCTGGGGCCCGACGGTCGGTCGGCCCGGGGACCCGGGTCGCGCTGGGCAGCTACTCCCGGCCCGGGGCCACCTGGGAGATGGTCGTGGCGCCAAAGAAGCCGCTGAGCAGCGCGTTGTTGTGGACCGCCATGTCCACGAGCTCCGGGGTGATGCGCCTCCTGCCGCTCTTGCAGGCCTCGTTGCCCGCCAGCTCCAGGACCTTGGCCGTCAGGTACTGGATGACGGCCGCCAGGAAGACCGGAGCGGAGGGGCTCAGGCGCCGGGCGTAGTGGCCCTCCCGCAGGAGGTGCTCCACCCAGCTCACGGAAAACAACAGCTGCGCTCGGGCGGTGCGGGAGCGGGGCCGGCCCTGGCCGTGGGAGGACCCTCGACGACGACGGCTGCGATTCCCCGGCATGCTGGGCGTGGGCTGCGCGTTCTCCTCCGACGGGCCTAGCTCTTGGGCGGCGCGGTGGGATGCGGAGCCTCCGGCTCGGCTCGGCTCGGCTCGGCTCGGCTCAGCTCGGCTCGCTCGGCTCGGCTCGGCGCGGTGCGGTGCGGTGAGGAGAGGTGCCACCGGCGGGACCAGGTGCGGTGAGGTTCGGCGAGGCGAGGTGCGAAGGCTCGGCGGCGCCCAAGCTCTCAGACGGCCGGTACTCAGGCCCCTCCTCGGTATCCTAGCGACGTCGGGCCGGCCCCCAGTTGACTGGGCGCACGCGCCGTGACAGGTAGATCCGGTGAGGTCACCGCTCTCCCATTGGCCGCCGGAAGTGGCGGGCCTGGGCCCGCCAAGAACGGGCGCCGGCACGAGCCTGCTCGCGCTGCGCCCTGGACCCTCTCTTCGAGGGAGCGTTCCCTTGCCCCTGGCTGGGAGCCTGGACGGAGAAGAACAACAGACGTGGGGACGACCCACTGCCACCAAGTGGACACCCGCGGGGCCGGGCGACTGTCGCAACTACCCGCTTCCAAAACGTTGGCGCCACCCCAAAAAGAAACCCCTGTGCCCGTCCGGCCGTCGCTCCCCACCCGCCGGCCCCACCCGACCCCTAACCCCGACTCCTCCACCGCCCCGCAAACCCACCCCAGCCCGCCACCGGCCAGCACCCAGGCAACCACTCTTGCTTCCTGTCCACAGAGGTCGGCCTCTTCTGGAGACTTCCTCCAGATGGAGTCGTACCATAAAGCGGTGGCCTTTGGTGCCTGGCTGCTTTCAGTTAGCATCACGTTTTCGCTGTGGTTCGTCCCCGTGGCAGCACGAATCAGCGCTGCATTCCTCTTCGCGGCTCAGCGAGATTCCCTGGTATGGAGAGACCGCACGCTGAGTATCCACCCGTTCACCAGTGCATGGACGTTTGGGTGACGGCCACCTTCTGGCTCTTGGGAATAGCGCTGCAGTGAACATTCCCCTACGGGGATCTGTGGGAACACCTCTTCTCAATGCCTTTGGGTAGATATCTGCGAGTGGGATGGCGGGGTCACGTGGTAGTTCTATGGTTAATTTACCGAGGAACCGCCCCACTGATTTCCACAGCGGCGCTACCATTTTGCATTCCCAGCAGCGGCGCGTGAGGGTCCAAGATTCTCCACGTCCTCCCCGAAACTTGCTCTTTTCCGTGTGTTTTGTCTTGTTTGGCTTGCAGCAGCCATCCCAGTGGGTGTGAAGTGGTAGCTCATGGTGGTTTTCATTTGCATTTCCCTACGGGCTAATGATGTTAAGCATCCTTTCATGTGCCTCTTGCCCTTTGGAGAAATGTCTGTTCAAGTCCTTTGCCCATTTTTTAACTGGGTTGCCTGTCTTTTTTGTTGTTGAGTTGTAAGAGTTCTTTGTACATCCTGGAAAATAGGCCCTTATCAGATACATGATTTGCAAATGTTCCTCCCATCCCGTGGGTTGTCCTTTCACTTCCTAGATAGAGTCCTTTTTGATGCACAAAAGTTTTTGATTTGGATGGCCTACAATTTAGCTCTTTTTTTTTCTTTTGTGGCTCTGCCTTTGCTGTCGTATTTAAGGAACACTGATGCTTAACTTTTTGTGTCAACTTGGCTAGGCCACGGTACCCAGTTATTTTGTCAAACATTTTCCTAGATATTTCTGAGAAGGTATTGTTTAGATGAGGTTAACACTTAAATCAGTAGATTTTCAGTAAAACACATTATCCCCCATAATGTGGCTGGGTATCATCCAATCAGTTGAAGGCTTTACCTTGAAAAAACTGACCTCCCCTGAGGAAGAGGGAATTCTGCCAGCAGACTTTCTTTGGCCTTCAACGGCAACATCAACTCCTCCGTAAGTCTCCAGCCTGGTGGCCTACCCTGTGAATTTTGGGCTTGCCTTCCTCTGCAATCCTGTGAGCCAATTCCTTATAATCTGTTTCTCTCTCTTTCTATACACACACACACACACACAAATACGCACACATTCTATTGGTTCTGTTTTGTTGGAGAACCTTGACTAATACAGATTTTGGTACCAAGAGAGGTTCTAGAAGAACAGAATCTTAAGAATGAGTTTTCTGAATTGATTCTGAGGTTTCTGGAACTGGTTCTCCAGTCTTATTAGATTTAAAGACACCAATGACTCTTATTTCCAGTAATAAAGAGGACACTGATAGTCCATGACATGATATGGCAATAGAGATATACAAAATATCACCATTGGGTACTACTAATCAAATACTAAAAAGAGGCAAGGTTCTGGGTGGCCATGTATATGAAACTTTAGAACATTTTTGTCAAACTAGTGAACATGAGTTGGCTGTTTAATGTCACTGGACAAAGTGGGAGGGAGAAAAAGGATGAGCTCAGGGATTCAAATTCCCAGCTCAAAGTTATATAAGTGACCTGAAAGCTTCTATATCTGCCCTGAAAGAGATCTTTATCTCCTGTAGCCACAGAGCTGAGTTTTCTGAAAACCATCCTGAGAGTGGCTGAAGTGCAGTGGAAATTGAATTCTCAAGCTTGCAGAGTGTTGTGTCAAAGCAGGGGTGAAAATTGGAATGGGAATATATGGGAAGACATTGATGAAGCTAGGGACTTTGAACCCCCCAAATTCTGATGAGTCTTCTTTGCCTCTTGAAGCAACCTCTCTACCCCTGTCTGAGGACATTAAACCTGTATTTCCCGAGGAAACTGTGATAGACTCCCCTGCAGCATTTGCCTCACACATCACTGCTGTTTCTCCTCAGGGCCCACCTCCACTGCCCTTTTTTGTTTCTAGACCTGTAGCTAGACTCAAGTCCTAGCAGGCCCCTAAAGGTGAGGCATACAGCGTCACCTATGAGGAGATGTGCTACACTCCAAAAGAACTGCATGATTTTTCTAATTTATACAGACAAATCTGAGGAATATGTATGGGAATGGATATTAAGGGTGTGGGATAATGGTGGAAGGAACATAAAGTTGAATCAGGCCAAATTTATTGGTATGGGCCCACTAAGCAGTAATTCTGTATTCAGTGTTGCATCTTGGGAAGTTAGAAAGGGCTCTAACAATTTGTTTGGTTGTTTGGCTGAAACATGGACCAAAAGGTGGCCCACAGTAAATTGGCTTGAAATACTAGGCCTGCCTTGGTATATTGTAGAGGGAAGGATTCAAAAGCTTAATGAGATTGGTACATGAGACTGGATGTGTCATTTAATACCTACTCATCCACGCTGGGAGGGTCCAGAGGACATACCTTTCACCACAACTGTGGGACATAAATTTGTGAGAGGAGACCCAGTAGCTTTGAAGAGCTACATGATCACTCTTGTTTGTAGGCCAGAACTTACGGTGGGAATTTCTGCCACTGAATTGGGAAATCTAAATGCAGTGGGAGTAACTAGATCCTGGGCTGGCCGGGGCCAAGTGGCAGCACTCAATAGCCAAAGGCAAGGTAGGTGTGGTTACCATAATGGACAACAGAGTTGAAGCAGCAATCAGAATACGCTGACCCACGGAGACCTATGATGTTGCCTAGTTGATCATGATGTTCCTAGAAGTGAAACAGATAGGAAGTTGTGTTCTTTACGTAAGGGTACCATGACGAAATGCCACAGACTGCATAGCTTAAACAAGAGAAATTTATTGTCTCACAATTCTGGAGGCTAGAAGGCCAAGATCAAAGTGACAACAGGGTTGCTTTTGTCTGAGGCCTCTCTCCTTGAATTGAAGACAACTGACATCTCACTATGTCCAC